GTCCAAAATGAGAAAACCAAGATAGCAGTTAGTCTTAGAAGTTAATGTAGAAAAATATAAAATTTGAACGGGCCCGATCCGCCATGTTGTTGTTTTGGCGGATAAGGGGGGCCAATAGGAAAATCTCCGTATCCGCGATTTGAACTAACGCAAATTCGGAGGCCTGGGGAGGCCAGGAAGGCGTCCCCAGTGAGCTCACGGTTCCCCGGAGCTCAGAAAAAGGTTTATTGTGAGTTAGAAAAGTTGCAGTCAGGAAAAGGACACAAAGTATCAAGCGGAAAGGTTTTAAAGTTTCAAAACTTAAGTGTTTTATTGAGGGGTTTGTTACAAAGAGAGGGAGAGGGGAAAGTGAAAGAAAGGCTTCATGCAGTCCTTTGCCTTGAGCTGCTGGCTGGGGCACATTTCATCAGTCGGACCCAACTTTGCTCCCCGGAACTGCGGAACTCCCTGCTGCAGTGCAGACCAATTACCTGGCGGGGGCTCACGCCATCAACGTCTGCAGATAGTCCACGTTTCACAGGCATATAGCAGGGTTGGGAGGACAATAGCTTTATAGACAAGCACCTTGGTCTCCCTACGGATGTCCCGGTCCTCAAACACTCTCTGCTTCATTCGGGAAAATGCTGCACTTGCAGAGCTCAGGCGGTGTTGTATTTCGGCATCAATATTGACTTTGGTGGAGAGGTGGCTGCCAAGGTAGCGGAAATGGGCTCTTCAAACATATTTCCATAAGAGCAGTTCGCTCCGGCGAGAAGGTAGCAACACTCCATGCAGTCATGCCGGCCACATGACCTTTGGAGGTGTCTACGGACAACGCCGGCTCTTCGGCTTAGAAATGGAGATGAGCTCCAAACCCCAGAGTCAGACACGACTGGACTTAATGCCAGGGGAAAACCTTTCCCTTTTTTACATATCAAAAGATTAAATGCAAATTTAACATTCGTCATTAAAACTGGGTAGGAAACAAGAAGCCGGAAGACACCCGTTTTCAGCTGTCAGCCTGGCAAAACAGGAGCCTGGCAAAGGCGTCAGTCAGGAAGCGGAAGAGCGGGATTTAGCAGTCGGCCGGGAAAGCCAAGCGGCGCCACCTGCAAAGGGGACCCCTGGAAACATTCCCCCCCCCCTTTTTGAGTTCCGATTGCGAGGTGGATGCATCCGGAAGATATCAAAGGAAGAGGAAATGAGCAGAAAAGTGGTAAAGGAAGAGACCATGAAAATGAACAAAATCTGGCTACCAGTATTAAAAAACTCTAAAATTACAAGAGAAAAACAGCAGAGAGGAAACAACCAGGCACATCTTAACACCTCTCAACAAAAGATTTTCCCAGGCTCAGCCAGGCCTTCAAATGCTAATGAAGGTGGTCAGTTGAAACATTCACATCTAGCTCCAGCAGAGAAGAGCTCTTTGCCCCACCCCAGCCATTCCACAGATATATAAACCCATTTTTCCTACTTCCAACAGACCTCACTACCTCTGAGGATGCTTGCCATAGATGCAGGCGAAACGTCAGGAGAAAAATGCCTCTAGAACATGGCCCTATAGCCCGAAAAAACCCACAAGAACCTAGTGATTCCAGCCATGAAAGCCTTCGACAATACAAAGTGGTAAAATTAAATGGTCACCCTTCTTAAAAACACACACACACACCAAGATTTGTTCATTCATTTCAATTGGTTTTACCTGTTTATTTTTAATGCCATTCATATGCAGTTCTGTTTTAGTGTTCATATAATTTTAGGCGGTTTAATTCAGCGGTTTAACCCGCTGCGCTCTTAAGATACATATATTAAAACGTATTTCTATAAGAGCATTTCGCTCCGGCGGAAAGGTAACGACACTCCATGCAGTCCATTCACTCCATGAATATGAATTTAAGAGTAGAGACATCAGACTGGCAACAAAGATCCATTGCCTAGTCAAAGCCATGGTCTTCCCTGTAGTCACCTACGGATGTGAGAGCTGGACCTTGGTCGCATGACTTCCCTAGATCATGCCGGCCACATGCCCTTTAGAGGCGTCTACGGACAACGCCGGTTCTTCGGCTTGGAAACGGAGATGAGCACCACCAACCCCCAGAGTCGGACATGACTGGACTTCATGTCAAGGGGGGGAAACCTTTAGCTAAACTTCCTAAACGAGGTTTTCTTCCCTGGGATGCTTGTCTTTTAAGGGTTTGCAGGAAGAAGGGTGTTGGAGGAAAGTTCTGAGAGTGCCTTGGACTGCGAGAAGATCCAACCAGTCCATCCTCCAGGAAATAAAGCCGACTGCTCATTGGAGGGAAGGATACTAGAGACAAAGTTGAAGTACTTTGGCCACATCATGAGGAGACAGGAAAGCCTAGAGAAGACAATGATGCTGGGGAAAGGGGAAGGCAAAAGGAAGAGGGGCCGACCAAGGGCAAGATGGATGGATGGCATCCTTGAAGTGACTGGACTGACCTTGAAGGAGCTGGGGGTGGTGACAGCTGACAGGGAGCTCTGGCGTGGGCTGGTCCATTAGGTCACGAAGAGTCGGAGACAACTGAACGAATGAACAACAACAATAATTTTAGGCAGGCATAGGCAAACTTGGGCCCTCCAGGTGTTTTGGACTTCAACTCCCACCACTCTTAGCCTCAGGCTCTTTTGGCTCTTCATTTGGTGGCTCAATGGGCCAGGTTTGCCTGCGATGTCCACATAAGGGAAAAAAGTCATTCCAAATAGGGGTGTCCCACTTCATACTTTCTGCTTAGCCGGGCAATGCTGCTGTGGATGAAGCGGCTCTGGATCTTCGCAGCCGGCAACTCCTCATGCCTTCACCATCATAGAAGAGACCTCGTGGGCCATCCAGTCCAATCCCATTCTATCAAGCAGGAACATCAAAGCACCCCTGACAGATGGCCATACAGCCTTTGCTTAAATCATAGAATCATAGAATCAAAGAGTTGGAAGAGACCTCATGGGCCATCCAGTCCAACCCCCTGCCAAGAAGTAGGTGTATTGCATTTAAATCACCCCTGACAAATGGCCATCCAGCCTCTGCTTAAAAGCTTCCAAAGAAGAAGCCTCCATCACACTCCGGGCAGAGAGTTCCACTGCTGAACGGCTCTCACAGTCAGGAAGTTCTTCCTAATGTTCAGATGGAATCTCCTCTCTTGTAGTTTGAAGCCATTGTTCCATTGCGTCCTCGTCTCCAAGGAAGCAGAAAACAAGCTTGCTCCCTCCTCCCTGTGGCTTCCTCTCACATATTTATACATGGCTATCATATCTCCTCTCAGCCTTCTCTTCTTCAGGCTAAACATGCCCAGCTCCTTAAGCCACTCCTCGTAGGGCTTGTTCTCCAGACCCTTGATCATTTGAGTCGCCCTCCTCTGGACACATTCCAGCTTGTCAATATCTCTCTTGAATTGTGGTGCCCAGAATTGGACACAATATTCCAGGTGTGGTCTAACCAAAGCGGAATAGAGGGGTAGCATGACTTCCTTAGATCTTGACACTATGCTCCTATTGATGCAGGCCAAAATACCATTGGCTTTTTTTGCTGTCTCCAAAGGAGGAGCCTCCACCACATATTTATATGTGGCCCTCATCATGTCTCCTCTCAGCCTTCTCTTCTGCAGGCTAAACATGCCCAGCTCTTTAAGCCACTCCTCATAGGGCTTGTTCTCCAGACCCTTGATCATTTGAGTTGCCCTTCTCTGGACACATCTCCCTTCACTTGTGGTGCCCAGAATTGAACACAGTGTATTTCCAGGTGTGGTCTAACAAAGGCAGAATAGAGGGGTAACATGAATAGCCTGGATCTATTCTAGACACTAGGCTCCTATTGATGCAGGCCAAAATCCCATTGGCTTTTTTAGCTGCAACATCACATTGTTGGCTCATGTTTAACTTGTTGTCCACAAGGACTCCAAAATCTTTTTCACACGTACTACTCTCAAGCCACGCGTCCCCAATTCTGTATCGTTGCATTTCATTTTTTTCTGCCTGAGTATCTTGCATTTCTCTCTGTTGAACTTCAATTTGTTAGTTTTGGCCAGTCATCTCTCTAATCTGTTAAGATTGTTTTGGATTCTGCTTCTGTCTTCTGGAGTATTGGCTATCCCTCCCAATTTGGTGTCATCTGCAAACTTGATGATCATACCTTCCCCTCATATCTTGATACATAGCCTTCATCATGTCCTCTCAGCCTTCTCTTCTTCAGGCTAAACATGCCCAGCTCTTTAAGCCACTCCTCATAGGGCTTGTCCTTCAGACCTTTGATCATTTTAATTGCCTTCCTCTGGACCTATTCCAGCTTGTCAACATCTCCCTTCAATTGCAGTGCCCAGAATGTGACACAGTGTTCCTAGTGTGGTCTGATGGTTGACCTTCCTTAGTTTCCCCCCACTGCTCTTCCCTCTCCTGCAACTTCCAGCAATCCTCCAGATAGATAGAGATAGATAGATAGGTAGATAGATCAATCAGAACTGCTAGGGGACAGCTAGTCTATATAAATAAAAATGTAATGTTAGTTTGTGGGATTAACATAACTCAAAAACCACAGGATGAATTGACACCAAATTTGGACACAAGACACCTAACAATACAATGTATGTCCTTCACTCAAAGAAATTGAATTTGTCATTTGGGAGTTGTAGTTGCTGGGATCTATAGTTCACCTACAATCAAAGAGCATTCTGAACTCCACCAATGATGGAATTGAACCAAACGTGGCATACAGGACTCCTATGACCAAGAGAAAACACTAGAAGGGTTTGGTGGGCATTGACATTGAGTTTGGGAATTGTAATTCACCTACATCCAGAGAGCACTGTGGACTCAAACAATGATGGATCTGGACCAAATTTGGCATGAATATTCCATATGCCCAAATATGAACACAGATGGAGTTTGGGGGAAATAGACCTTGACATTTGGGAGTTGTAGTTACTGGGATTTATAGTTCACCTACAATCAAAGAGCATTCTGAACTCCACCAATGACAGAATCGGGGCAAACTTCCCACACAGAACCCCCACGACCAACAAAAAATACTTAAGGCCATCCAGTCCAACTCCCTTCAGCAGGGCAAGAAAATCTAATCAAAGCTCTCCTGACAAAGAGCCATCCAGTCATAAATATAGGTAGATAGATATGATTCACACACACACACAGATATGGTATTATAGATTTGAAAGGGACCCCTAAAGAAGGACAATGATACGTTGCATATTCCAGAGCAGGCAAACCAGACAATCTCTACATTAACACTGACAAAGAAACAACAAGAAATACTGTTTACCCACAACCATAAACAAATTATATATATTAGAAACCTACACTTTCTCATTATTTATAATAACAACAACAACTTTATTCTTATACCCCGTCACCATTTCCCTGGGTGGCTTACATATTTATTTATTTATTTATTTAAAAGTTTTGTATACCGACCTTCTCACCTCTCTTGAAGGACTCAGACCGGTTTCCAACCATAATATCACATACAGTCAATAAAACATCATAATTCATATTACAGTAAAACACTAAAACATTAAAACAGCAATTACATTCAATAAATACAATGATCAGTCGTCCCACTAAAATCGGTGTTCATCATCCTCCTTCCATATCTCAGGGAGTTGGCTCACTCGTCGAATGCCTGTCTCCATAGCCACGTCTTCACCTGAATGTCAGGATAGAAGGGGTGGTTCTGATCTCCAGTGTGAGAGAGTTCCAGAGTTGAGGGGCCACCACCGAGAAGGCCCTGTCCCTCGTCCCCACCAGACGCGCTTGCGAGGTCGGTGGGACCGAGAGCAGGGCCTCTCCAGACGATCTTAATAATCTTGATGGTTCATAGGGGAGAATATGTTCGGAGAGGTAAACAGGGCCAGAGTCGTTTAGGACTTTATAGGTTAACACCAGCATGGGACAAAATTCCCACAAGACATAAAATACGAAACAATAAATTAAAACAACCAATTAAAATACAAGCATAGTAAAATATAACAATAAAAGCACATTTAAATAAAACATAACACAAAACAACAGCATAGAAACTCAATCAAAACAATACTCCACAAAACCAATAGCCAGTATATATACATTATATATCATAGAATCATAGAGTTGGAAGAGACCTCATGGGCCATCCAGTCCAACCCCCTGCCAAGAAGCAGGAATATTGCATTCAAAGCACCCCTGACAGATGGCCATCCTGTCATATATCAACCTTTCTTGGGTCTCCACAATAAACTTTTGCTTCAAAAAGTGTTGTGTGGCTCTACAGTTTAAAAACAAATGGAACTGTTTGTTGGACGCTGGATCATCTCTCCTTCTCCAATTTCAACGGTAAGGAATTTATTTTTTTTGGTATTTATTTATTTATTTTTGATGAAAGAAAGGGGGGAAGTGTGATTATTTTGCAATGAAATATGCTGCATTCGTTTTATAATCCATGAACATTTTTGTAGTTTCTTGGTGTGGCTAGAGACAAGATGCTTTTGTATCCTAATGGTCTTGTTGCTACAAGGAGCGATGAAACATGATCAATGGTTGCAAAGGGAGAAAAGTGGCTCTATCTCTCCCTCTGTCCTCCCCTTCTTTGTCTGCCTGGAAAGGGAGAGACACTTCTCTGAGGAAATGTACAGCTTCATTTTGGGACAATTTGGAGAGTCACAGGAAACACACCTCTGCTAGACTTGTGTGAGTTCGCTGATGCCTAACACCTGCTCTGCCATACCTGAAGCTCTTTCCAAATTCCATGCCTTTATGTGTTTTCTCCTCTGTGTGGGGCACAGAATCCTAGACCCGGAACAGACCACAAGGACCATCCAGTCCAATACAGGAATACACAATGAAAACAATTCATTTGACAGCCATGCAGAACTCAACTCTCAGAGCAGCTCTTCTTACAATCCAAGCTATTCTATGGCTTCTCCCTAGTATGGGTCCTTTGATGGCGTTGCAGCTTTTCACACCGACTGAAGCTCTTTCCACATTCCAAGCATTTATATGGCTTCACCCCTGTGTGGGTCCTTTCATGGCAATGCAGATGTACCCTCTGAGAGAAGCTCTTTCCACATTCCATGCATTTATATGGCTTCTCCCCTGTGGGTCCTTTCATGGCAATGCAGATGTACCCTCTGAGAGAAGCTCTTTCCACATTCCATGCATCCAAATGGCTTCTCCCCAGTGTGGGTCCTTTGATGGGAGAACAGAGCTGCACTCTGACTAAAGCTCTTTCCGCATTCCATGCATTTATATGGCTTCACCCCTGTGTGGGTCCTTTCATGGCAAAGCAGATGTACACTCTGAGAGAAGCTCTTTCCACATTCCATGCATTTATATGGCTTCTCCCCTGTGTGAGTCCTTTCATGGCGATGCAGATGTGCACTTCTACTGAAGCTCTTTCCACATTCCATGCATTTATATGGCTTCTCATTGTGGATCCTTTCATGGGCTTGCAGCACTCCACTCTGAGAGAAGCTCTTTCCACATTCCATGCATTCATATGGTTTCTCCCCTGTGTGGGCCCTTTGATGGGTATGCAACGTTCCACTCTCAGAGAAGGTCTTTCCACATTCCATGCACTTATATGGCTTCTCCCCCGTATGGATCCTTTGATGGCAATGCAGATGTGCACTTCTACTGAAACTTTTCCCACATTCCATGCATTCATAAGGTTTCTCCCCTGTATGGGTCCTTTGATGGGAACGCAGATCTTTACTCCAATTGAAGCTCTTTCCACATTCCATGCATTCATAAGGTTTCTCCCCTGTATAGGTCCTTTGATGGCAACGCAGATTTTTACTCCAACTGAAGCTCTTTCCACATTCCATGCATTCATAAGGTTTCTCCCCTGTATGGGTCCTTTGATGGGAACACAGATCTTTACTCCAATTGAAGCTCTTTCCACATTCCATGCATTCATAAGGTTTCTCCCCTGTATGGGTCCTTTGATGGCAACGCAGATTTTTACTCCAACTGAAGCTCTTTCCACATTCCATACATTTATATGGCTTCTCCCCTGTATAGGTCCTTTGATGGCAACGCAGATTTTTACTCCAACTGAAGCTCTTTCCACATTCCATGCATTCATAAGGTTTCTCCCCTGTATGGGTCCTTTGATGGGAACGCAGATCTTTACTCCAATTGAAGCTCTTTCCACATTCCATGCATTCATAAGGTTTCTCCCCTGTATGGGTCCTTTGATGGCAACGAAGATCTTTACTCCAACTGAAGCTCTTTCCACATTCCATGCATTTGTATGGCTTCTCCCCTGTATAGGTCCTTTGATGGCAATGCAGACCTTCACTCTGACTGAAGCTCTTTCCACATTGCACACATTCATATGGCTTCTTCCCTTTATGGGCGCTGGGATGGGAATGTAGAGGATATTCCATTGTTTGTAATTTATGATTCCCATGCAATGCCGGAATTTCACAAAATAAATTCTTTCAACAGAACAGGAATTCTTTTCAGTCTCAGGTTTTCTGTAGCCTCTCTAGTTCCTTTTCTAAACCTCTCTTTTTACGTCACAACCTTGCTTTTCCCATTTATGTTGGACTTTGGGCCTCCCTGCGACAAAGCTGTCACAAGATTGTCTTCACACGGTTTGTTCAGGATGTATCTGCGTGATGAAAAAGAGGAAAGTCTCATCAGGAGTTGAGCACACAAAGATCTCATTGTACATCAAGACTGGGAACCAAGAGAACAGGTGAGGGGTCTGGCCCAACAGGGAAGAACTTGCTGTGAAACTGACCACCATAAGCAACAGCTGCCAATTCGGGTGGTTCACTCCTGATACAATAAATAAATAAACCCACATCTATGGTAGGTATCCTCAGGACTAATTCAACCTGAGAAGTCAGCCATAGCAGAGCATCTGATGAACCTGGACACAACATATTATTTGAAAACACGGAATTGTTGAACCACTCTAATAACCACCACGTCAGACTACACAGAGAAGCCATTGAAATCCACAAGCATGTGGACAATTTCAACAGAAAGGAGGAAACCATGAAAATGAACAAAATCTGGCTACCAGTATTTCAAAATAGCTAAAATCAGGACAGTTAATAAAGAGCAACACTCAGAAGACACAGGAATTCCAGACAAGAATCAATCTGGGCCAGCTAACACCTCCCAACAAAACATTCCTCCAGGCAGCAACCAGCTAGGCCTTGAATTGCAAGGCTATTCAATGCTAATCAAGGTGGCAAATTGCAACATTCACACGTACCTCTAGCAGACACGAGTGCTTTCTCCCACCCTGGACATGCCACAGATAAATAAACTCTAGACCAGTGGTTCTCAACCTGTGAGTCCCCAGATGATTTGGCCTTCAACTCCCAGAAATCCTAACAGCTGGTAAACGGCTGGGATTTCTCGGAGTTGTAGGCCAAAACACCTGGGGACCCACAGGTTGAGAACCACTGCTCTAGACAAGAAACAATCAGAGACAGCTAATCACCTCTCAACAAAGAATTCCCCCATGCAGTAAGACGCCACACCTGAAACTGCCAGGCCATTAAATGGAAATCAAGGTGGCCAATGGAAACATTAACACCTACCTCAAACAGACAGGAGTTCTTTCTCCCACCTTGGACATCTTTCCATAGATATATGTAAACCCCATTTTCCTAGTTTCCAACAGCTCCTTCAACCTCTGAGGATGCCTGTCATAGATGTGGGTGAAACGCCAGGAGAGAATGCTTCTGGAACATGGCCATACAGCCCAGCAAACACAGGAATCAATTTATCTACTGTTGTTTTTAAAATTGTTTATTTTGATTTTATGCTTTATGTGTTGAAAGGGGTGGTTGTTATACTTTTATGTGACTTGTTTTATACTTCTGTGCAGTTTTGACCTGCCTTATGTTAAATGTGCACCCTGGAAATATCCCTCCCACCAAATTGGGAGGGATAGCCAATACTCCAGAGGACAGGAGCAGGATTCAAAACGATCTTGACAGATTAGAGAGATGGGCCAAAACTAACAAAATGAAGTTCAACAGTGACAAATGCAAGATACTCCACTTTGGCAGGAAAAACGAAATGCAAAGATACAGAATGGGGGACAATGCCTGGCTCGAGAGCAGTACGTGTGAAAAAGATCTTGAAGTCCTTGTGGACAACAAGTTAAACATGAGCCAACAATGTGATGTGGCGGCAAAAAAAGCCAATGGGATTTTGGCCTGCATCAATAGGAGCATAGTGTCTAGATCTAGGGAAGTAATGCTACCACTCTATTCCGCTTTGGTTAGACCACACCTGGAATATTGTGTCCAATTCTGGGCACCACAATTCAAGAGAGATATTGACAAGCTGGAATGTGTCCAGAGGAGAGCGACTAAAATGATAAAAGGTCTGGAGAACAAGCCCTATGAGGAGCGGCTTAAGGAGCTGGGCATGTTTAGCCTGAAGAAGAGAAGGCTGAGAGGGGATATGATAGCCATGTATAAATATGTGAGAGGAAGCCACAGGGAGGAGGGAGCAAGCTTTTCTGCTGACTAGGATACGGAAAATGGCTTCAAACTAAAGGAAAGAAGATTCCACCTGAACATGAGGAAGAACTTCCTAACTGTAAGAGCTGATCAGCAATGGAACTCTCTGCCTTGGAGTGTGGTGGAGGCTCCTTCTTTGGAAGCTTTTAAACAGAGGCTGGATGGCCATCTGTCGGGGGTTATTTGAATGCGATGTTCCTGCTTCTTGGCAGAATGGGGTTGGACTGGATGGCCCATGAGGTCCCTTCCAACTCTTTGATTCTATGATTCTGGAGTGCCTTTGTAAGCCACCCTGAATTCCTCCGGGGAGATGGTGGCAAGATATAAATAAAGTTAATTTATTATTCCACCCGAACATTAGGAAAAACTTTCTCCCATCTGTTGCACAGCAGCGAAGAGAAGGGTGAAGGGGAGCAGTAGCTAGGCCACCAACACACCATCCTGTGGGACCTGCCTTCCCTGGGAAAGGAAGGCCCACCCTTGCTGACATTCTGCGGGCCCTACCTTGCTACTCAGCTCCAGGGATTATGGGATGATACAGATTATCTGGACCCATCTCAGTCAGGCTTTAGGCCTGGTCACGGTACAGACACAGCTCTGGTCGCCTTGGTGGATGATCTCCGCAGAGAACTAGACAGGGGGAGTGTATCCTTGTTGATTCTCTTGGATATCTCAGCAGCTTTCAATACCATTGACCATTATATCCTTCTGGGTCGACTTTCGGGAAAGGGTCTCAGGGACACTGCTTTGCAATGGCTCTAATCCAGTGGTTCTCAACCTTCCTAATGCCGTGACCCCTTAATAAAGTCCTTCATGTTGTGGTGACCCCCAACCATAACATTGTTTTTGTTGCTACTTCATAACAGTCATTTTACTACTGCTATAAATCATAATGTAAATATCAGATATGCAAGATGTATTTTCATTCACTGGACCAAACTGGGCACAAATACCCAATGCACCCACATGTAAATGCTAGTGGGGTTGGGGAGGACTGATTTTGTAATTTGGGAGTTGTAGTTGCTGGGATTTATAGTTCACCTACAATCAAAGAACATCCTGAACTCCATCAATGATGGAATTGAACCAAATTTGGCACACAGAACTCCCATGACCAACAGAAAATACTGGAAGGGTTTGGTGGGCATTGACCTTGAGTTTGGGAGTTGTAGTTAACCTACATCCAGAGATCACTGTGGACCCAAACAATGGTGGATCTGGACCAAACTTGTGGAGTTTGGGGAAAATAGGCCTTGACCTTTGGGAGTTGTAGTTACTGGGATTTATAGTTCACCTACAATCAAAGAGTATTTTGAACTCCATCAATGATAGAATTGGGCCAAACTTCCCACACAGAGCTTCCATGTCCAACAGAAAATACTGTGTTTTCTGATAGTCTTTGGTGACCCCTCTGACACCCCCTTGCGACCCCCAGGTTGAGAAACACTGATCTACATGAAAACACTGGATGAGGTAATCCAGAGTTTTGGAGTTCAGTGCCATCTCTATGTAGATGACACACAACTCTACTACTCTTTTCCACCAGATTCCAGCGAAGCCCCCCGGATCCTTGACCAGTGTCTGGCTGTCGTGATGGGCTGGATGAGGGCTAATAAACAGAAGCTTAATCCTGACAAACAGAGGTCTTCTATGTATTGTCGAAGGCTTTCATGGCCGGAATCACTCAGTTCTTGTGGGTTTTTTCGGGCTATATGGCCATGTTCTAGAGGCATTTCTCCTGACGTTTCGCCTGCATCTATGGCAGGCATCCTCAGAGGTGAGGACCTCACCTCTGAGGATGCCTGCCATAGATGCAGGCGAAACGTCAGGAGAAATGCCTGTAGAACATGGCCATATAGCCCGAAAAAACCCACAAGAACTGAGAGGTCTTCTAGATCACTCATGTGGCCGATCGGAGTATAGGGTTGCAACCTGTGCTCGATTGGGTTACACTCCCCCTAAGGACACAGATCCACAGTCTTGGTGTCCTTCTGGACTCCACCTTGATGCTCAGGTGTTGGCAGTGGCAGGGAGGGTCTTTGCACAATTAAAGCTTGTGTGCCAACTGTACCCATACCTTGTGAAGTCTGACTTGGCCACAGTGGTACATGCCCTAGTTACCTCCAGATTGGATTACTGCAATGCACTCTATGTGGGGCTGCCTTTGAAGACGACCTGGAAACTGCAGTTGGTTCAAAGATCGGCAGCCAGATTACTAACAGGAGCTAGTTACAGGGAGCAGTCAACCCCCCTGTTCAAACAGCTCCACTGGTTTCCAGTCGCAACTCAAGGTGCAGGTGATTACCTACAAAGCCCTAAATGGTTCAGGACCTGTCTGTCTTTGCAATTGCATCTTCCCCTATGAACCAGCACATACTATAAGATCATCCAGGGAGGCTCTTCCCTTGCTTCCACCGCCGCTTACAGCACCCCACCCAAGGGAGAGGGCCTTCTTGGTGGTGGCCCCTTAGCTCTGGGACTCTCTACTTAGGGAGATCAGACAGGCACCTACTCTATCCAATTCCCGCAAGGACTTAAAAACCTGGATGTTCTGTTGTGCATTTGAATAAGCACTTCACCAGAGAATTGGTTCAATCTCCTTCCTGTAATCCTGACATTTTAAATGGCTAAGGACATTACCCAACAAAACAACAATGTATGTGCGTGACTCGCAAAACTCTGCCTCAGAGTAGGTTACTTCATACTGTATTACTATGTCAATAAGACTTCAAAATCCACAGTAGAAAAAGTACAATTCTCATATTATAATTCAACTAAAACAAGGCCTCCCGGGTTGTTCCCCTTGTTTTGTTCTACCTTCTTTGGGTGTTATGCCAGTCTTATCTATAATGCTTGAGTACACCAAATAAGACAATAGATACACTAAAAACCCCAAATTAGCATTGCTTTGAAAAAAGTTTTGGATACACACGCTTGTCTACTTATATTCCTGATAGTAGCTTTGGCTCTGTTGTGAATGCCTGTCTTTATCAATAATGCTTGGATACACTAGATAAGAAATAAAGCAACATCTGTGAAGTGAATTTGAGCGACAATTATGTGTTAATGCTGACCATTTAATCGGTGAAATACATGAGCCTTTATTGAAAACCACTGCCAG